CGACTTCTTCTTCGTCAATCACCATAAGTTCCTCCTCTTGTTCCATCTCTTCCTCCTCATCGTCCACAAGTCTTGGAATATCCATCACTTGAGTTGTTTCTTCGCCTCTTGGAATGTCCCTTGCTTGCGTTGCTTCCTCTCTTTCTGTAAGTTGCTTGTCTTTCCTTGTTTCGGGAGGGTTAGGAGGTGCCTCTTCTGTACCCATCTCCAGCCTTGCTCTTTTGGCCTTGTTCGAGAAAAGCTCCGCCTCGGTTTCTCGGAGACGTTCTTGCAGATGACATATGGTGAGGTGGTCGCGTTGTGCTCTATGGAAGTCCTCATTTCTTGTCTTGAGATGTGCTACCACGATTCTCTCTTCTTTTTCCAGCTTGTTGATGAGTGCGGACATCTGTTTCCTCTGAAACCCTATTTTCCTCAGGAACCGCTCATTGAGCCATTCTTGATCCGTTTTTCCTGGGTAGCTTTCGAGCGACTTGACGAGAAGAATATAGCGAGTGCAAAGCATCAGATAGCAGTCACTCGCTGCTCCCGCCGCGCGTAAAAGGCGTCCAGTAATGATTACCTGTTGCGTAAGTGGTTGAGATTGCTTTTTGAAATCCATCCACTTTTGACTGATCGCTGTGATGGCGTCGACTTGTTGTTGTAACTCTTTTCTTGTTCTTTGTAGTTGTATTCGAAGTTGTGATCTTGTCATGGTCTTGTTGGATGTGATTACTTCGAATAGGTACTCGAGATCCTTACAGTCGTTGACAGTACTGCAGATGGGTATATTTGATTTTGCTTGCTTTGAAACATGTGGCGTAGCTTTTGTAATCCGTCTTTTGAGCTTGGATGCGTTCTTACCCTTTTTCTCTACGCTGTCCTTCTTTTCTTTGACCTCTTCGACAACTCCATTGACTTGTGACTCTAGAGACCAATACTTGTCCCATACTTCCAGTTCCTCGGTGTGTTCCATTACTTGCGTAATCTGTTCTTCGGTATGTACCTGTCCTGTGAGGAGATGGCCCAGTTTTGTAGGCAAGAGATGGAGGCCCGATGGTAACCTAATATGTGGTGAATCTTCTTTTATCAGCTGCCACAGTTGATCGCATCCTAGTAAAATCAGCGGCTTGCTATCTGGAATAGCTGCTATATCAATATTGAGATTTAGCGATTGCACAAATTGTATGTCTTTCTCGAGAAGTGGTGACGCCTTCAGAGGTTTTGTGAGGGTGTCGTAGGTTAGTAATTGTAGTTGATACGCGTTGCCCTCAGCATCCCATGCATCCAGTTCTACTCTGCGACTTAGGCTTTCGTTAACTTTTTCTGATCCGAAAGTCCTCAACCTCAGTCTGGTTGTTTCTATGGTCGGTAGATGTAGTTCCTCTGCTAGGTTTTTATCGATGAAAGATAGTTCTGCACCTGTATCTAGAAGAACTGGGATTTTACGCAAATTTCTAGTTACTGGGTTCATTACTTGTATTTCTCCCGTTGGAAGATACGTTGAACTGGTTTTTGATTCTTGTTTTGACGTTTGGAGTTCGTAAATAGTTGTTTCCCCATCGTCATTTCTTTGACTTGTTTGGTGGATCTTCGCTGAAGTTACTGGCGATGATTTTGATTGCGTTGGAAGAAGATTTTTTGATTCGTTCAGCTTTGTCTCCTTCGCTTTTTGATATGTGCTGCGTTTGTCCTCTCCCGTCATCCCCTTTTTGAGACAGCACGATGTGTGGTGGGGTCCTTGGCATTCAAAACACATTCGTTTTTTGCAGTCCGCTGTGACGTGTTTTGAAGATGCGCAAATAAAGCACAATTTGTGCTCCCGCAGGTATTGTGTGCGTGATTGAGGAGTTGTATACTTTGTGCATGCTATGGATTTATGCTCTTCTCCACAGTACATGCACTTGTTGAACCATTTACTTGATTCTTCTTTCCCTCTATGGAGTATAGGAGATACGGTATGTTGACGAGGAGTCACTTCTCTGGTAAAAAATGATACCTTTTCTTCCGTTGTGACAAATTCTTCTAAGAGTTTGAGCAATGTTTCCATCCCAAAGGTATTATCTGCTTGTATGTACTTGCGTTCCAACACTTTCCTTTGTAGTCTTATCGGAAACTTCGAAAGTACTTGTTTCATTATACATTGATTATCTACGTGTTCATTCTTTTCTTGTAATTGTACTACAATAGCTTGAATCTGTTCTAGAAGTTTCCGTTGATCCCTTATGCTTGGTGAGATTAACTGAATCTTTTCTAGTCTGCCGTATAGCCTATTGACTAGCTGTTCGTTATCTCCATATTTAGTTTTCAGAAAATTTATGGCTTTGGCATAGTTGTCCTGTGACACTCTGAACTTCTTTACCGCTTGTAGAGGTTCACCCCTAAGAGCTTTAAGCAAGTAATTAAACTTGTATAGCTCTGGTAGAGGCTGTGAGTTCACATTTGTGTCAAAAAGTGTCCAAAAGTTGTCCCAGTCCCATAAATCTCCATGAAAAACTGGAATCGGAAGTGTTGGTAATTCCATTTTCTTGACCCCTATCGCACTCTCTGTGATTTCGTTACTTGTATTATTTTCTGCGTTCGCGAATCGGGTAGGTGTGTAGGAAATGAATGCGTTTGTTCTAGCTTTTAGAAGAACTATATAGTCTAGAGAAGCACAAAGTACCGTTCCCCTTTACTTGTGTATTCTTCAAAATCCTCGCTTTCTTTTTCACTCAATGATTCACACTTGTCTATTGCTAGCGCATAGTTTTGAAGAAGTTCTTGTATTTTGGTATTACAGGTTTCAATTGCCCCTATTCCTTCTTCTAGTCTTCGATGACTCTCCCTTATGATGTGCGGCGATGTCTCTTGGTCAGGAAATTTAATTGTTTCTAGTTGTTCGGACTTGAATCGCGCGATCACTGTCTCTAATTTCGTACAGTATTTCGATAGGAGACGCTTGTATGTCGACAGTTGCGCTGACATTGCGGTTGATGCCCTAACAAAGATCTGACGCGCGATAAGCTTGGTGCGAGTGGAATGAGTGACTGAGTGGTTTGTTATATAATTGATCGATAATTAGCACTGTGAGCTAATGCTTCCGAAATGGTTGATCAATTGTAAATTCAACTTGTTTTACAGCAATAGATGCAAATTGACTTGATTGCGCAGAGGAGCGTGCTAATGTGTCAAAATGCCGAATGATTGCTGAATTTGGGCTTGTTTAGCAGAAATATGCGTTGAAACTGCAGTAGGAGAGCGAATACAGTTCAACTTGTATCAAGAAATTGTTACTAAACTTGTGTAACCAACCTCTTGATTTGATCCGGTCCGAAGATTGCCGATGCACCAGTTGTGTTGATGATACGCAAGATATTTAGAACAATAATCGTCTAATACCAAGAGACACTTGAACTTGATCTGCCACGCGGGCGTATTATTGTCGACGTGTACCTCAACTCAAACTTGGGTAATTAAACCTTTATGAAGTAGTTATAAGAGAAAAAACCGACAAAATAACAAATAAATGAACTAAAACTACATAACAGACAAATGAGATACAAATGAATGATGATTTCACATACTACTAATAAAAATCACTGAGAGTAGGATGCTAATGCTAGTTCTCACTGTTATGAAACTTGATTATGCTTATCCTACTCAATACTTGATGATTATGCTGTTTTAGATCAATTGCTCAAAAAAGGTGCAAGAAAATAACACAAAAGTGATAAACCTTCAAGTCGGAAAAATATGAGCTTACAGTCAGACAAGCTTATATAGTGTGAACCTAGATGATATATGAGGATAAAGAAAATATGCAAATTATGTGAAAATGATACTTGCTTGAGCAGCCGACGAGCTGCATAGACGACGACCGTCCCCTTATCGTTCGCACCATCTGGAGTCGGCTCTGCGCTTGCAAGTAAACAAAGCATTCCTGTAAGAAAGACTTGGCGAAAATAATAATGAAAGGTTGGATCAATACATACTTGATAAATCCTTGGATTTGAAGTCGTGTTTCACGACATAGAATAAAGAAAATGTGTGGCTCCTGTTCAGAAGTTTGAGATTATCGGCTTATTGCAATTCAATCACTTCGGGCTATTCATCTCGGAAAAGGACTGAAAGCCTGGGTAAAAGAGCTCCTAATTCGATGTTAGGAAATAAGAGCACGAGAGAAAAACAGAAGCATGAATAATATTCATCAATCTTTATCACTCTTGCTCATGGTCACCATTCTTGAAGATGATTTGATGACATGTTTCATTAAAATACTACAGCAATACAAACATTCAGTATGTGCGGTGAATTCAGTATATCACAGTCTAATCTCGAGTCTACGCCCATGTTTTTCAGTTACACAGTTTCTTTCTAGAAAGCTTTCTAGGAAGTTTGGATTGTCTCTGTAGCACCGTGGGCATTTTTTCATCATTCCTAACTGAATGAATATCGTACCTCTCAAAAAGCATCTCTTAAGTGATGTTTGGGAGATGGTGTCGGAGGTGTCTTATATAAAGCGAACCTGTGTTTATGTGAGTGCCCGCTGCTCAACGAACCAGTTGTAGAAAAAAATTACCTGAAAAGCTAAGCCTCACTAAAGTTTCTTTTGTTCTTCTAACTCTTATTCTTACATTGTACATATATTGCCTCTGATTGGTACAAAATCTCATTTTACACTTTACTTTTACAGTCGCTTTGTCAACGAATTCGATGTTTCTTATTTTAGTTCATAAATGTTATTTTGCTCGCCTTGCGAGCTATCCCTTTAAAGGTTTTCATCGCATACCTTTGTCTGTCTCTTTTCGCACCAATTTTACATGGCACTAATTATAAATTTTCATTATACTAGAAAAGCATGAACCGCTAGAATTTTGAACTTCGTTTCCTCGATATTTTCATTAGTATGCATACCGAAAATTCAAAATTGATCAGAATTTTGTACCAGAGAAATCGAACCACACATTTTTATCAATTTTTAACTGTATAGGTGTCAAAGCTGGGTGATGGCAAGCGCAAATCGCTGTTTCATTGAGTGACTAAATGAGAGGAGAGTTCTGATCGTCGTTTGCCCCATTGCGGATTCTGAATATGCAATCTTTTTTTTTCTGAGCAGTCAAGGAAAGTGTTAGTAGATCAGTTTACCTTTTTGCGTAGAAATCACGCTGCGAATTGAATAAAACCTCTGTCACATGGGTGAAGAGCAAAACTAATTATTTTATCAAATGGTCAAATGAGATCAATATGATGTGGTTTGTGCACTGGGGCAGCCGCCGCATCCATCTCCTTTTTTACAACAATTCATCATCTTCTAATGACTATTAGTCATCACTTTCTTCCATGAAATCACCACCTGTAACTCTAACCTTGATCAAAGTGAATGTCAGAGAATGTCAGAAATTTGTCCGCTCTCATTCTGACAGCCAAGATGCTAATTGAATGCTTCTCTTCTTATACACTTCCTCATCATTGTGTTACCCTTCCCTAATCTTGCGTAGTTTTTTCACTATTGTGTGAGTTCCTCTTATTATCTAATTCTTAAGCACAAAGCCAAGTTTGCCTTGCTTCTATCGTGTTTAGCAATTACCCAATCCTTCGCATACTTTTATACTTTTCCAACCAATATTTCTCGGACCACTTAACAATTGTTGGCCACAAGTGCTTTCTGCAAACCTTTTGTGCAGGACTTTCTTCAATTTTTGCGGTCCGCCAATCCTCTCAGAATTCCCAATCGGGATCGAAAATTCTGCCTCTAGCTATGCTGCCCTTGAGCATTTTGCCCCCGAATTCATTGCCAGAATCCCAACGTTCTCTTCATTACGCTACCGTGGAATCGTTCGCAGTGGACCAGACGCTACTCACCAAAGGCTGTGCTTGGAGTATGCATGAAGCGTGAGCGTTGCTTGGACTACACAACGTTGTTATGGACAATGCACAGATAGTACGGAAAAATATAACAATTGATAAAAGCGAAATTAAAGAGAAACAGAGGCGGGATCCTCGCCAATCTGCAGAATGAAATACGCCTTATACAAAAGACTGAGGAGCAGATGTGACCCATAGAGGAGGAGGAATGGGATGCGAGTGACAAGAAATTGTGGAGCCGGCTTCCGTGCGGCGAGTTGAGCTAAAAGACCACGACTAAAATGTAAACTGTTCAAAACGGCGATGGTGGCGCACATCTGCAAGTCATACGAAGTGCGCTAAAACCGAAGACTGCATCTGGCAAGATACATGATGAAAGGAGGCTTAAGGAATCTACAATTGCTGTGATAACATGACAGTCTAGAAACCTCAGGAGCATTATATGATATACAACAACATCGCAACGAACATAATGAGACACAAGAGAGCACATTGTCGTGGAATGTTGTTTTGGGCCCGCATCTCTATGGATCGCGATTAGCAAGGAGTACTTTCGAAGCTGCTCGTTCGCAGCTGCATTGCCGCCTCGTGCATCTGGTAAACACCCATAAGTTTTTTTCACACCATTTACTTAAATGCACACACCTGTACTCTTTTAACTGGCGCATTTTTCCCTTGTCCTTCCTTGTGCACTCCCGGTATCTCATGTCGGCCCCGCATGCATGACACGGGATCGTGGGCGGCAGGCCATTCGGAGGAACCGCGTTCGACTCCGATACAGTTCGCTGTAAAGTTCGTCAAAGCTCAGTAGTTCATTACCCATCGCTGACATATCCAAATTCGCCTGACCCTACACCTTGGTTAAAGTTCTGCATTCTTTTGTTAAATGCGGCAATTCCTTCTCCCTGTTCATATGCCAGCTTCCCAAGCCACTATGTTTTCGTAATTAGCACTCTTGCTCATCAACTGCTGATTTTCGCCCCATAGCCCAAAGTTTGCGAAAAATCGATGAGGTCGATATGGTGGGGTAACTTTGTGAACGATCGTTTTTTTTTTGAACGCTACTGTCGAAAATGGTTTCAAATGAAGTAGGAACAAGAGTTGTCTGAAAGCGCACTTTCCGTTAATGAAAGATGGGAAGACGATGGAGAGGGATCATCTCTAAAATTTTCTTTTAGCAAAGGGAGGGGAGAGGTGAATGAGCACGCTAATTACAAAAACATGGTGGGGACAGGGAACTGGCGTTTAAAACTGGGACAGTAACAGAAATGTGCAGAAATCCGAAGATGTAAAGTAATCCTTATCTCACAAGGGAAGGATACCAACTTAGATTGAGATGGGGACACATATATTTAGAATCAGGTTTGAACGCTGGTTCCAAATATGCGGTTCTTAGCTGCTTAGCGTTATTCCGAAGCGAGTTATGGGTTTGCTGTTGCGTATAACTAACAAACTTCTAAATGTCGTAAGACGTCGTGTTGATAAGAATCTGCCCGAAAAAAGTGCTAGGATGTTGAACTAGCCTCAGGTTGAATCTTTCAATCTTGAAAGGGAGTAATTTACATTGCGAAACCATCCGGGCGTCTACATCGTGCATCAGTAGGTCGAGGAGCACGCAAACTTTGCATAGAAAAGAGACCATAACTCGCTTCAGAGTGATGCTAAGCAGGTGGGAACAGCATATTTGGAATCAGCGTTCCAAGCTGATTCCAAATATATGTCTCTCATCTCAAAAGGCGAATCTAACTTAGTATCCTTCCCTTGTTAGTATATTGACATGACCGGGGTGGAGCAGGGTATGCCAGCTGGTTGATATAAACAGGGCCCTGCACAGATGGTTTGGGATCAGATTGAACTGCGTTTTTGGGATAAAAGCGAAAGAGGTATCGTAAAAGCTGCTAAACATACAGATAAGTGACTTCCAAATACAGGGTGTCCCAAAAGTAAGTACACACTTTTTAATCGTCAATATCTTTCTTCCAGTTGTGTCTTTTTCCGCCATTTGAATACCGTTCTGTAGAAAAGGCTTCAACTTAGATATGCAGTATCGAGCGAATCACCGATCGCGCTTCATTACTGTAGGATTACTGTGGGAACTTCGACAAGGATTTTAAGTCGTTTGAAGCCATATTCGGCCTCGGAACAAAATCAAACAATCCAAAATCTCACTATGGTTGTGGAAGCCGCTGATTTCGAATATGAAATTTCCACTTTACTGTGATGCTTCTATCCAAAGTTATCCCAGGTAAACCGTAATAACCGATTTTCCAGTATTTGTCAGAAATGTGATTACACCGTCAAAGAAGCTGAAAACACTCGTTAAAAGTTGTTAGTAGAATCAGCGTGCGCGAAAACTCTAGCACACGATTTTTCAGATTTTTTGAAAAAAAATTTGTTAGGTGGCATAATTCACCGTGGTTTCACATGCTGGAAATTCTTACCGTACTTCTACAGTAACGAAGAGCGATCGGTGATTCGGTCGATACTGTAAATCTAAGTTGAAGCATTTTCTACAAAACGGTGCTTGACTGGCAAAAAAAGACCCATTGGGAAGAGAGATATTGACGATTGAAAAGTATGTACTTACTTTTGGGACACCCTGTATACTGACCTCTGATTCAACTGGCGGCTGGAAGGAGGGGCTTTGTGAGCTGATTGAGGCCGCTCGCGCCCGCGGCGCAGTCTGCGTCTCTGTCACGCGCATGCTCTCCCTAACAGTAGCGGGGCCCCCAATTGTATAGTCGCCCAACTCGCGCTGCCAAAAATTGCTTCCGAAGCGAAAACTTACTTCGAAAAACGCTTCGGATTACAGATTCGCCACGTTGGCTCCTCCCTTTTGAGTGGGCGTGATGTTCGTCCCGCCCATCCGCGCGCGCGCAACCAATCACGTTCCAAAACTCGCGCTGCTTATTCTGCGAGACAGGGATTGTCGGGATTTTCGGGAATTTTGGACTTGATTTTCGGAACCAGAGACACGAGAAGACCCCGGAACGACAAAAACATGGAAGTCGAGGATTTGAGAGGACAGTGCCTTTGATTAGATCACGAAGCCCCGCCTTCCAGTCGTCAATCCCGTTGATTCAAACGATAGCTATCAAGTTGATTCATCAATGACATGCTCTAACGTATTCTTTCTCATCAAAGCGCCACCAAATTGATACTTCAATAAACAAATTGCTTGTTTATAGTGCGCAAGCAATCACACATTACACCGACCTTGGGCTTTGTGTGTAAAATATTGCTTCAAACTACATTATGTAAAGAGTTTCAGATATTTTTGTCCTAATACCCGTGCCCGAATTTGTTAGTTTCTAGACCATCATCAATCAAATCATTGCATCTTCTCTTTCTCGAGCAAAACTAGTACATATTAGGTTGGTCCGAAAGTTTTGTCATTTATTTCAATACATCCGCAAACGCGCTAGATGAAGATGAACAGACGCTTCAAAGTGTATCCAATCCAGAATTTTTTCCTCTTTCCAGCTGTTAAACTTCTATTGTATTTCGTTGCGAGAGTGACGAGATATTTGCTGGAAATTACAGCCAGTGGTTTTTACCATGTCCAACTTTCGCTAATTGTCAAAATGCTTGTATGAGCTACTTTCGGAGGAGCCCTAATAACCAGCAGATAGGGCAAACCTTTTGCCAATAGAAGCAATTTTTTGTAGCCCTACGGCTCTTTCAGAATTTCTGCGATTTCTTTCTTGAAGTGACCAAATTTTTTCAGCCTATTTTAACCTCGTAGAACATAAAATGTTAAACACTTCAGTCACCATTCGATGCAAATTTTGTCCTCTTTCTAACACCTGTCGTTGCCGAAACAGGCGAAATTTGTGGGGAAGATCGGAGTATTTCTCAATTTCAGGAGTGCGCATAGACGTAACCCATGTTTCAAAATCTTCATAATTTGCAGCGAAAATCGCTCATTTACTTTGTAATGGTGGCGGCAGTAATAATCGTGTGTTTAACCTCAGTTTACTGTAGTTTTGCAGTGTTTGGTGCAACAACAGGTCATGTGATTTTTTCCAAAACAAGACTTTTAGAAAACTATTTAGCAAAAATCTGAAAAAGCAGCGGAAAGAAAAGAAAAAATTGCGTAAGTTAGCAAAAGTACGCCCTATGTGCTGGTTATTGGGGCTCCTCCGAAAGTCTCATACAAAAATTTTGAAAATTAGCGAAAGTTGGACATGGTAAAACGAGTGTAATTTCCAGCAATTATCTCGTCACTCTCGCAACGAAACACAATGTGAGCTTAGCAGCTGGAAAGAGGAAGAAATTCGGCATTGGATACACTTTGAAGCGTTTCATCATCTTTATTTTAGCGCGTTTGCCGATGGTTTGAAA